TCACCCCCTGCTCGGACTTTTTCCATTGCTGGGTCTCTTACAAGGGTGCTGTCTTGGCCACTGACACTAAGACAAACACAGCCGATTTGCAAGGCCCAACTCAAGGGATTTGACCTGGTAAAGTCATTCTTTTCTGAATTTCAACACAGACAAACAACTAACTGACAGAGTTCCCTGCCTTTGAGCACTGGATAGACAGCCTAACTGTGTCTATTGTTCTTTTCAGCAACCCTGAGGCCTGGTACATCACCAGACAGTCAATGAATGATGAATGAGCTGGATTCAGAAATATTTTACAAACACCATTACATAGCTTTTTCTGGAAATAAAAAAAAAATACAAAGAAGAATGTAACAATCATCCGATTTCTACCAATCACTAATACTTCAGTATATTTGTTTCTAGTAAATTTTTCAAACTTCTTGTTTTTGTAAAAATCCAACCTGCTTATTTAATTTATTTTGCCAGTACTGGGGTTTGAACACAGGGCCTAACGTATGCTAGTCAGGTACTCTACCACTTGAGCCACTACACCAGCCCTCAACCTGCTTATTTAAATATAATTAAGGCATAAAAGTGACAAACCCAGCATGCAGATATGGTTATCATTAACCCGAGCTAACACAATCCCACGCACACAAGCATGGGTTATATTCAGTGTTTGTGTCTGAATTGAATTCTACTTAAGAAAAAAAAAAAACTAGAGCTGAAGGCATGGTTGAAATAGAAATGGCTTTGGTCTGTAAGAAAGAATTACTTTCTACAATAACTCTCTGAGGTTTTAAGATTACGAAAGACATCAGGAAGTTGGAGCATCACATAGTCACAGCGCCTTTTAGTTTTAATCGGTATTTACTGATTCATGCTTTGGAAGAGTACAGTGCTAGCATTCTCATATTTCTTTCCCTTTTCCTCCCCTACTTCCTTACTTTTTTGATTATTTTTTTTGGGGGGGGCGTCTGGATTTACAACATCTACTCTACCCACGATTTCTACAGATTTTTAAAAATTAATTCTACACTTAACTAGAATAAATACTCATCAGTCTTGTTTACCACTTCTCTGCTCTCCAGTTCTTTATCTCTTGAGTTTGCTATTTTCTGGATTTAATTTTCCAGTCTTTTTCCCTGCGCTTCCTAGTTGAACTCTGCCCGTTGACCTTCAGCTTGAAGCACATGTCGGGAGGAAAAAGCACTCCGGTGTTCACATCTCCAGCAGGACTGGGGGTTTGAATGCAGGGCCTCATGCTTGCTGGGCAGGTGCTCTACCACACGAGCCACTCCATCGGCCCTCAGTGGGTGACTTTCTTTCCCTTAGAATGGGTCCCCAGAGAATCAAGAGATTCTGGCGTTTAGTTTACACTGCAAGTCTGAGGCCGCCTTGATTTTGCTTCTCCTTCCTTTACCTTTTCTTTCTGGGTCTCTAAATAGTTCTTTTTCTTTGAATTGAAATCATTTACAGTATCTTGGTGTTAAGAACGTGAAATTTTCCCAGAACATGGCTAGTTCTGTGGGTCTATGGGCCTCTTTTTTGGCAGTACTGGGATTTGAACTCAGGTTTTGTGCTTGCTAGGGAAGCACTCTACCACTTGAGCCATGTCCCCACTTTTATTTGGATTTTCTGTCAGATTTGCTGGTTTCTCTATATTAGGAATTCCAATTATCCTAAATGCTTAAGGTGTTCTGTCTGTCTTCCATATTAGATTCTTTATCACTGATTTAATCTTTGTCTTTTTCATCTGCTTTCACTGGACTTAAATCAAGCATTTGCTCTATTAAAATATTTTTATTTTCAGCAGGCTTTTCCCTATTCCTTCTTCTAATTTCTTCGGTAATTGTGGTTTTATGGTCTTCAATTTATTCCCTTATGTCTACTATCTCTCTTTTCATGTCCATTTAAAATTTTTCTCGTCTTTGAGTTTGCTTTATTGAATTAAAAAGATTTTTTTGGTGATACTATGGTTTGAACTCAGGGCCTTGTACTAGTTGGGCAGGTACCCTACCACGTGAGTCATGTCCTCAGCCCCTAGAATTCAAAATTTTATCAAGTCACCATAGGATGTAAGGAATTTCTTCTGCTCTGATAGAGACCTACATATATGATTTTGTTGAAGTAAGTTCCTTTGCAAGCTGTGTTGTTCTTTCCTTTTCTTTTATCCTCACTCCCTCTGCTGTATTTGGATAGCTTTCACTGCCTCCGACTGTGAAATAGTGTGAAGTCTTGATTTTCTTTTTATAACCGATTCTAGTTTGTTCAGGAAAGTGCAGGCAGCTTGTCTAGTCCCTGCCAGAAGGGTTGGTGCTGCCATGGGAGCAAAGACAAGGGAAAGAGAGAGCTCGGTCTTTGTCAAACACTGGGCCCCGCTTTCTCCTGGAGATTTTGGTAAGTCTCACAGCCATCAGGAGAGGCAGGTGGTGTCAACCATCTGGGCTGTGGGTTGTTCTCCTGGTTCTGGGGCAGGTACTGCCCACTGCACTCCCAGTCAGCTGGGCTAGTTTTCTTACTCCCCTCTGCAGGGCACAAAGAGTCCATTGCTCCTCTGTCAGAAAAGGAAAACAGCCAACCACGTTGAGACCGTGGTTACTTGTTTCTTACTGATTAGGGAGAGTTTTCAAGAGCTTTGTTGACTTGCCAGAATTGTTGCTAGTGGTTAGGGTATTTAAACGTATTTTAAAGAACCTCAGAATTTAAAACAAACAAACAAAACAAACAAACAAAAACTAAGCTAAGCTGAAAGATATCCACTTTGTAAGACCTTGGCTTCTAGTTTACTAGGGCACTCATTTTACTCCCCATCCTCAAACCTAGCTTGGTTTATCTTTTGTTCCTCTTTCTCTACCTCTCACCATCCTTAAGTCAGTCAACCTCCTTTGCCAAGTCACTATTTCCTTTATTCTTTCCAGGATTGCATACCACTGATCTCCTTCTTTAAGGAACAAAGAGCTCTTAAGGAGAAGGGCAGTGGTCACTGGATATCCCTTGGATATTGGCACCAGGACCCCTCTCTCTAGGACATCAAAATTTGAGGATGCCCAAGTACCTTATATGAAATGGCACAAACCATCCTCCTGTGTGCTTTAACTCACCTCTAAATTACTTATGACTCCTCACACAATAATTTAACTGTTATACTCTACTCCTTTGGGGATAATGACGAGTAAAAAACTTTGTACATATATGTTCAGTATAGGTGGGTATAGATATACACGGTTCTATCTGCCCATGTGGAACCAGCAGATAAAAAGAGCTAGTTCTGCTCTAGTCAGTAATATTTCATGACTTCCTTTTGACATTTGAACATTTCTGAAGTCAGAATGCTTTGTACAATGGCATGACAGCATTACTGACTGTTTTCTTACTTGATTGTGCACATTAAAAGAGCATCTTACAAACAATACCATTTTTAGTTTGGGTGCTAGTTTTGATAAGATATGAAGTGATAATGAAAGAATATATATGCCACTGTCTCTTCAATAGTTTGAAGGTTCATAAATGTATAGGAAAATTAGTCCAATGTAGCTTTGTGTGTGTGTGTGTGTGTATGTGTGTGCACGTGACAGAGAGAGAGAGACGGAGAGACACAGAGACACAGAGAGAGAGATTGTGTGTTTTTTAGACAGGGTCTCACTATATAGCCCAGGCTGGCCTCAGACTCAGGACCCTCCTGCCTCAGCCTCCTGAGTGCTGAAACTACAGGGATGTACCACCACGCCCTACTGGAATATATACATTAGAATAAAAACTTCACTTATGGGGTGGGGAATACAGCTCAGTGGTAGAATGCTTGCCTAGTATATGTGAGGCTGGGATTAATCCCCAGTACTGAAAAAGAAAATTCATTTCTAAGACAATACCTCTTGGGTTATCTATAACTTTCTAGATTGTTTCGCTTTGTTTTTCTTTGGACAAGTCACCTCGCTGCCTTCTGTCAAATAACCTGAACCAAACCTCAACTTCTCTTTTTTTCTCATTTCTGGTGGTGCTGGAGGTCCAACCCACGGCCTCAATCCAGCATGCCAGGCAAGCACTCTACGACTGGGCTGCATTCCCACCTTTCTTTTAACTTTTAAATAAATTCAAAGCAAAGCTTAGAGGAAAGACAGGTACAAGTGACCACGCAGGGTTCTTTTGATGACTTTAAAGTTGAAAAACAACTTTTAGCTGTAGAAGCTAAAAGTTCAAGCTACTTCCTCAGACTAACAGATCAAACCTTATCCACCAGCCCAAACTGTAAGCTCATTTATTTTTTTTACTAGGTTTTTTTCCGGACAACAGATTTTTGCCAGGCTTCTGCTACTCCCTTCCCCCTTAAGCTTGAACAGATTTGCAAAGCAAGGGACAGGGGACAGCCAGTAGAACAAAGCCCCTAATTAAAGGTATGGAGGGTGGGGGAGGGGGGGACGCTGGCGCCAGTCGTCCACGAGGACGGGAGCCTAGGCGCACTCAGGCTGTCAATGTCTAAAACCTCTTGCCAAGCAAAACAAGGGCATTAAACACACATTTAAACACAAAAGGAGGTGGGGTCTCCAGTTATGTCAATAAAGCCATCGCGAGCCAACTCGCTACCGCATCTATCGGACTGGTTTGCTCTGAGTAGAAACGCAAGCTACCAATCGCCCCCAGTAGTCGAGACCCAAGCCTTGACCCCGAGTGACCCAGTTTGACAAAGCGAGGTGGATCGCGAAGAACGATTCACTTTGTCAATCAAATGGCAAGTGCCCAGTTGTCCCAAGAACCCTCGGTGAAGGGGTGAGGGGGGATCGCGGGGCTAGGCACGACGAGTGGAGGGCGCTGGGGCAGCGAGTCGCTACGTGGGGCCACCATGGACGACCCGGGGACTGCGAGGTCCCCAGAACCCGGAGGGAGGGCGGGAGGAGGCGGCGCCCCGGAGTGGAGGAGAAACTGGAGGGGGATTCCGGGAACTGGCAGCAGGGAGGCGGCCTTTGCCCGAGTCAGCGGCGCTGGCGGCCCCCACCCACGTCCCCGCCACCCTGGCTCACCTTGTCACTTTGGTCGCGCGGCTCGGCGCAGCGACGCTTCTTCCCCCGGGCGGTGAGAGCCTGCGGTCTGATGTGCGCGGCGGGCGGCCCCTCCCGCAGTGGCGGCTGGCGACCCGGGCGGGCGTTGGGACAAAAGCGGGCCGGATGCCAGGTGGCGGCCTTCGGGTGTGGGAGAATCCCCGATTTTTCCTCGGGGATTCCTCGCGGCCCAGAGCGAAAACCTCGCAGGCCGGGAGCGCGCGCAGAGCGCCGGCCTCCCCGCGGCGCGCCGAGAATGCGGCGAGGAGAGGCCGGGGGCGGGGCCGGGGCGGGGCCAGGCCGGGCGGGGGCGGGGCCGGGGCGGAGCTTAAAGTACAGTGCCCAAACCGATTTTGGGCTGTTTTGTTTCCTGCAGCATCTTCAAGGGCTAGAGAGCAATGTCTGGTCTTAGAGACCCTTGATAAAAATGTGTTGACTGAATGAAAGAGTGAGTGGGTTCTCTCCTGTTTTACTCGCTTTGCAAACCTCTTTGATCACGATTCTCCAATCAATAAAAAAGATAAAAAATACCTACCGTTAAGTTGTAAAGACTTGTCATAGTTTGGGACTCAAGCGGCCTTTATAAATGTTTAACTATCATTACAGCCTCTCTGCTTCTCCGTGAGTCTTTCCTTCATACTCCGGCCTCCCCAGGCCCCACTGATCAAGGTAAGCAGTAAAAGCGAAAGACAGAATCCTTCATTAGTTTGCTTACCTATTATTTATACGCTGTGAATTTCCAAAAATAGAATAGGAGGTGGCTTTCAGAAAAGTGAATGAATGTTCTAAGCATTAAAGCTACTAAAATGGAAGTGTTAAAGTCTTTCTGAAGAAGAGGGGGAATGCACTAGACACTTTGACTATTCTGATTGTTCAGCTTTCAGGGCCTCTGAGAAGGAGGAGGATGGTGCATACATTTTGTAGATGGAAAAAAGAACATGTTAATCCATGAGATCTAACATTTGCTGATCCCCCTTTGTAGGCTAGGCACAGGGGTGATCATAAAAAAGATGTCACAGCCCCTGTCTCTCCTGTTACCCTTGGCAGAATTCCCACCAGTCCCATGAGATCAGAAGGGAACTCATTTGGGATCCTTGATCCTTACAAAAGACATTCAACATTGAAAATGTTATCAGCCACAGTTTCAGAGACGTTGCAGAAATATAGCCTCTGAAAGTAGGGAAAAGTCCATACAAAACTTTGTGTATTACATTGCACCCTTTAATATATATTTATATATATTAAAATAGAAATATATCAAAATGTTAGCTACGATTAACTGCAGATTGGGCAAACAGATCAAGGAAACAGAACAGGGAGCCCAGAGAAAGAGCCGTGGATATAGTTGACTGATTTTTGACAAAGAAGCAGGTAATTCAATGAAGAAGGGACAGTCTTCACAACAAATGGTGCTGGAGCAAGTGCACTATTGTTTGGAACTTAAGTCACACCATGTGCTAAATGCTTGGTCCTTAGCTTGGCATAAGTGGAAGGCCATGGCACCTCTAAGAGGCGGGGCCTGGTGGGAAATCTTCCAATCATTGAGGGCTTGCCCTTACAGGGAATGGTGGGACCCCAGTCTCTTCCTCTCCTCTCTCATTTCCTCACCATGAGATGAGCTTTTGCTCCTCCACATCCCTTCCTTGGTGTGCTGCCTTGCCATGGGCCCAAAAGCAATAGAGACACTTGATCATGGACTGAGACCTCTAGCCAAAGTAAACCTTTTCTCTTGTTAAGTTGATTACCTCAGGCATTTATCACAGTAACGGAAAGCTGACTAACAGAAACCAGATAAGCAAAAAGATGAATCTAGGCAGAGTTTACGCTTTTCACAAACTCTAACTCCAGATAGCTCACAGATCTCAATGTAAAAGTACAGAACTTGAGAACTCCTACAAGATAACACTGGAGAAAATCTAGGTGACCTTTTAGATACAACACCAGCACCACAATCCTTGATACAAAAAAAAAAAAAAAAAGGAAGAAAGATAAATTGGATTTAATTTAAGTTTAAAAATTACCACTCTGTAAAAGACATTGTTAAGATAAGGAAAAGACAAGCTACAGAGTGGGAGAAAATATTTGCAAAGCATGAATCTAATAAAAGATTTGTATCCAGAACATACAAAGAACTCTTAAGGCAACAATAAGAATACAAACAACCCCATTAAAAAGGAAACAAAGAATCTGAACAGAGCTCTTACCAGAAGAGACAGAGAGGTGAGAAGTAAACATATAAAATGACTCTAAACATTGTGTGCCATTAGAGAATTGTAAATTAAATCAAAGGGGTCCCACTACACATCTACTAGAATGGCTAAAATCCAGAAGACTGACAATGCTAAATGCTAGTGAAGCATGGAAGGAGAGCTTTCACCTCTTGCTGGTAGGAAGGCAAAATGATAGACCACTTTGGATGACATTCTGGCAGTTTCTTAGAGAGCTAAAAATTCTTACCTTATGCTCCAGAATCTTCAGACTGCAAAGAATGAAAAACTTATGTTAACACAAAAACCTGCATAGGGACACCTCTAAGCAGTTTTAGTCACAATTTTCCCAAATTGGAAGCAACCAATATTGCCTTCAATAAATGTTAAGAAACTGGCACATCCACACAATGGAATATTATTCTGAAATGAGCTATGAAGCCTCAAAGTGAAAGGAAAAAGGTCAGTCTGAAAAAGCCACGTATTACATGATTCTTATCATATGGCATTCTGGAAAAGACCAAACTATAGACACAGTAAAAAGATCAGTGGTTACCAGGGGTTCACAGTGAAGAGGGTAGAGCTACTAAGGAGCCCAGGCATTGGGAGTGTTAGGATAGTGAAACTATTTTGTAGGATATTATAATGTTGACTAGAGGTTATTATACATTTGTCAAACCCTCGCAGAGTGTATACCACCAATAGTGAACTGTGATGGAAACTATACAGACTTTAGTTCATAATAGTGTATCAGCACTGGCTCATTAATTGTAACAAATATTCCACACTAATGCAAGAGAGTAGTAATAAAATATGTGGGAAGAGGAAATATAAGGGAAATCTCTGAACTATATGCTCATTTTTCTGTAAATAAAATCTGTGGCTTTTTTAAAAGCACATTTATTGATTAGCTTTGAAAAATGTACGAAGTGCTTCCCATGTCAAGTGCTGCTGAAGATGTTGGAGACAACACTGTGTGTGACACAGGCAAATCACTGCCCTCTTCTGGGGTGCACAGTCTGGTGAAGTTGGTGATGCCTACGTAAGCTCATAAATGAACACATCCCTCTCAGTGTGGCATGAAAACAAAGGAAACAGGTAGTGAGCTAGCAAGTCCCTGGGAGAGATACGTGACATGGGGCAATGTGCAAGGCCTCCCTCGGCTCAAGACTCCTGGGCTGACACCTAAACAAGGATAAGCCAAGAGCCCCAAACCAGCCAGGTTGGAAGAGAAGCAAATGCAGAAGGCCAGAAAGCCCAGCCAAGCTGGCACAGTGGTTCAAGTGGTAGAGCACCTGCCTTGCAAGCAAGAGGCCCTGAGTTCAAACCCCAGTGCTGCCAATACACACACACACACACACACACACACACACACACACACGTACAAATACACAGCCCAGCCAAGGCAGGAAAGGAAAGAGTCCGTTGCAGAGGTGGGCCAAGCAATGGGTTGGATGATGGTATCAAATTTAACATGGGAAGACTGAGGAGAAACAGCCTGGGGTGCAGGATGGAGACCAATATTATTTTGTGTGCTGAGTTCCAGATACCTCTAGATGTTCAGGTGAAGAGAGAGAGTCATGAAGGCAGTGAGAGAATCCCAAAGACTGTAGGTAGGGCAGAGGGCACTGGGTGGCCATGGAAGGCCACCACAGATAATAGAACTTGTAATAGAGACAACCTAACATGAACACTGGGCCAAAAGGGCACCACCTGTGAGATGGCTTGGTATGGGGTATTGGAGCATGATGACGTCCAGCATGGTAAGGATGGCATCCATGTACATGGAGGGGGGAGGGGGAGTGAGATGCTCAGAGCCTGGAAGGAGTGAGAGGGAATTCTCACATGGACAGCCTGGAGTGGGGTCTTGGGACCCAAGAGGGTTGAGGAAGGTGTTCATGCTGGGAAGCAGTGGGTGGCTGGGAATGGAAGACTGGTTGCATATGTAAGAATGATCAAAATACAGATCCTATTAAGGATAATGGAGCTAAGGTTGTCATTGATTGGGGAGTTACAAGTGTTCAAAAGGAGAGACTAGAGCTCAGATGAGAACAAGGCTTAGGATGAGAGTGATGGAGTCTGCTGAGTTCCGCGAGGGGTCAAGCACGATGAGGGAGTCATCCCCGGCCTTTGCAACTCAGAGGGAGCCTCCTGACAAAAGCCAGCTTAGTAGAGCCCTATTAGAAAGTACAGTGGGCAGAAGAATGTCCCCTGTCCCCCAAAGGATGCACATATCCTAAGCCCCAGAATCTGAATTCATTATCTTCCATGATAAAAGGGGTCTTGCAGATGTGGCTAAATTAAGGATTTTGAGATAAAGAGATTATCCTGGATTATATAGTTTGGCCCAAAGCAATCGCAAAGTCTACATGAAAGGGAAGGGAGGATCGGAGTCAGAGAAAGTGATATAAGGGCAGAGGCCAGATTGTGAAGAGGCTATGAAAAGGAGGATGGACCATGAGCTAATGGAGGCTGGAAGCCTCCACAAGGTAAGCCAAGTCAAGAAATGGATTTTTTCTTAGAACCTCCAGAAGGAATGCAGCCCTGTCTGCAGCACCTTGATTTTAAGACTTCTCACCTCCTGAACTCCAGCTCATAAATCTGTGTTGCTTAGCTGCTAAGATTGTGACCATTTGTTACAGCAGCAATAGGAAAGGAATATGGGGGTGGGGGGAAGGGCTGGAGGAAAAGGAGGGAAGTGAGAAAGGAGAGAGAGCAACTTTCAAAAAGTTTTGTGTGTAAATGAGCAGAGAAATGGGATAAGCATCAGAGTGGGCCACAAAGGCAAGGTGGGCATTTTTATAATTAAAAAAATGAATAGACTTTATTTATTATTATTTTTTTTAGAGCAAGTCTAGGTTTCCAGAAAAACTGAATGGAAAATATGCCTCCCCTTCCATTCTTCCCCAGTCACTCTGCTCATTTCCCTAGAACTGTATAAATGTTTTGCATGGCTGTGATTACATTTGTGACCATGAAGAAACCAATACTGACACATTAGTATTGACTAAAGTCCACAGT